TGAACTGCAGATCATAGTCAGCTAAAGTGGCCTGCAGTACTGCACCCTAACCACTGCGCCACCTCGGCTCATACATGATACCCTGTTTCCCTGAAAATAAGACCTCCCTGGATAATAAACCCTACCAGGCTTTTGAGCGCATGCGCTAAAATAAGCCCTCCCCCAGAAATAAGCCCTTCCCGGAAATATTGCAACACAGCAGCAGCCGTAAGGTAATCACACTCACTGCCTCCTGCACCTCAAAAAATAATAAGACCTCCCCGAAAATAAGGCCAAGTGCTTATTTTGGGGGTCAAAAAATAAGACCCTGTCTTATTTTTGGAGAAACACGGTAGCATGTTGCAGATGTTGGCATTTGCCCATTGCCAAGTTGCCAAGGTTGAAAAATATTGGCACAGATTTGTATGTATTTATTTGTATCATGCCTTTATTATTTTTACAAATAACTCAAGATGGGAAACATGCAACACAACTTCCTCCTCTTTCCTCCACAACAACAACTCTGAGGTGGGTCGGGCTGAGAGAGAATGACTGGCTCAAGGTCATCTAGCTGGCTTTTGTGGCTAAGGTAGGACCTGAACTCAGGGTCTCCTGCTTTTCTAGCCTGGTACCTTAACCACCAAACCAGAGGTCTCCAACCTTGGCAACTTTAAGACTTGTAGATTTCAATTCCCAGAATTCCTCAGCCAGCCAATTCTGGAAGTTGAAGCGTACAAATTTGGAGAGCTCTGTACTAGAACAAAATGGTTCTCATCATCAAATGTTTGTAGTAGTCTTCAGTTAAACAATCCAGATAGTTTCTACTGATATTGGAACACTGCTGTCATGACTGGGGGTGACATGGAAGCAGTGTTCCAATATTTCAGGGGTTGCTACAAAGAAGAGGGAATCAAGCTATTCTCCAAAGCACCTGAAGGCAGGACAAGAAACAACGGGTGGAAATTAATCAAAGAGAGAACCAACCTAGAACTAAGGAGAAATTTCCTGACAGCTAGAACAATTGATCAGTGGAACAGTTTATCTTCAGAAGTTGTGAAGGCTCCAACACTGGGAGTTTTTAAGAAGATGTTGGATAGCCATTTGTCTGAAGTGGTGTAAAGTTTCCTGCCTACACTAGACTAGAAGGGGGTTGGATTAGAACAGTGGTCTCCAACCTTGGCAACTTTAAGACTTGTGGACTTCAACACCCAGAGTTCCTCAGCCAGCAAAGCTGGCTGAGGAACTCTGGAAGTTGAAGTCCACAAGTCTTAAAGTTGCCAAGGTTGGAGACNGTGGCATTTACTGGTTCTCTGAAGTACTCAAAATTTCCGCTACCGGTTCTCCAGAACTGGTCAGAACCTGTTAGATTTCACCCCTGGGGTGATGTAAAGCTGGGTGACGAATCACTGCGGTTGTTAGGTTAGCCAACACAGTTGTTAAGTAAATCTGGCTCCCCCATTGGCTTTGCTGGTTAGGGTTGCAAAAGGGGATCACATGCTCCCCAGTCACTGCAACCGTCATAAATTATGAGTCAGTTGACACCTGTCTGAATTTTTGGTCGCATGGTCACGTGACCATGGGGATGCTGCAACGGTCGTAAGTGTGAAAGATGGTTATACGTGACTGTTTTCAGTTACATTGTAACTTTGAATGGTCATGAAATGAACTGTTACAAGTTGAGGACTACCTGTAATTAATTATTGATTCAAAATCCATCTATCATGAGTCCATTAAATGTTGTTGTTAGTTGCAAAGTCATGTCCCACCCATCGTGACCCCATGGACAACGCCCTCTTCCCGTCCTCTACCATCTTCTGGAGTCCATTTAAGTTCACACCAACTTCTTTGGCTAACTCCATCCAGCCACCTCTCTCTGTGTCATCTCCTTCTTCTCTTTTGCCCTCAGTCTTTCCCAGCATGAGGCTCTTCTCCAGGGAGTCCTTCCTTCTCATTAGGTAGCCAAAGTATTTGAGTCTCATCTTCAGGATCTGGCCTTCTAAAGAGCAGCCAGGGTTGCTCTTCTTTAGGACTGACCGGTTGGATTGCCTTGCAGTCCAAGGGACTCACAGGGGTCTTCTCCAGCACCCGAGTT